AATAATAATAATAATAATAATAATAATAATAATAATAATAATAATAATAGCGGGGATGTTGGGATGACTCCTCTGAGTCATGGCAGAAGGCACCCCCTTCTGAGAGAGAGTTGTGACCTGCTTCCTAACAGTATCTTCAACACAATGTATGTAAGAGATGACGAAAGCCGGGCCTACAGGTGGGGGTCAAACGCATCTGAACTCTCTATGCTCTTCGGCATCCTTCTGAAATCCTGAATCATTTAAAGCAGACATGTCAAACACATGGCCCTGAAAATGTATTGACTTGGATTATTTTTTTTTTCTGTTTATGTACATAAATGCATCATATTATTTGTTGCTTAATTACAAAAATCAATAAAAAATTTATTAAAAAAAAAAAAACAACACATGGCCCTGGGGCCGGATGTGGCCCGCGAAGTGGTTTCATGTGGCCCGCGAAGCCATCCTGGAAACAGTGAGGGAACGGCCCCCGCTGCCTTGGCCCTGGCCCAGGCCGGCCGGGAGCCATTGTACAATTTTGTGGTGGCCATCTATGCTGAAACACATTCAGTCTTAGCTCCACAGGGTCGTCCGGAAACAGCGAGGAACCAGCCCCTGCCACGTCGCCCGCACCCCCTGGGTGCATGCTGGGGAGGTGTCACCCTTTGTGAGGAATGAAGAAATGCACCATGCCTTGGCGCTTGCCCCGGTCCCACCCCCTTCTGCCAGAGACCCTCAGATCTGCCCCACTCCTGCCCAGGCCCCCATAGGCACCCTTGACGGGAACGATGTACAGCTGGCCACGCTCACCCAGTAGGCCACACCCACTCCATCCACACCCACCCAGTAGGCTGCACCCACCCTGGCCGCACCCACCCAGTAGGCCACACCCACTCCATCCACGCCCACCCAGTAGGCCACACCCACTCCATTCACGCCCACCCAGTAGGCCACACCTACTCCATCCACGCCCACCCAGTAGGCCGCACCCACCCTGGCCACACACACCCCCGCCCCCCCCGAGGGCAACCGCAATGCTGATGCGGCCCTCAATGAAATTGATTTAAATGCTCTGTACTTCCTTTGCAGGTCTTCATAGGAGTTTCACTGCCAAGATTTAGTTCGAGGACAGATTTAGATCAAGTCAGCCTGAGTTTGGCTGAATTTGGCCCGTGTTCTACTTCAGAAGTTCACATCTATATTCATTTTAGTTCACATTTAAAAAAAAATCCCAGTAGGAGAGAGTACATTAATTTAGGAAGGCAGGTGATCAACTGAGATATGTAGAGCTGGGTTTTGTTTTTTTTAATTTTCCTTTCTATTTTAACCACCTTATTTGCTCACCGCTTAAGAATATTAGAAACGTTACGGGGAAAGGTAAAAATGCAATATATTTTCTAAGATTTTTACACAGCGTTTGTTCATTCAGGCCAAGTGCTTCATATCACCCAGGGACAGAGAATATAATGCCTTTCACAATCTCTATTTTCTGAGAGCTGTAAAAAGAATTAATAGGTTTGGAGAGGACCTGAGAGGACTAACAAGAAAATATTTGCATAGAGTGACATTTAGCACATAATAATTCACAGAATGAATCTGGCCAAAGCTGAGTAACAAATGAAACAGATAACAAATTGCAAGAACTAGTTATAAATATCCCCCCCCCCCCTGAAGGCAGGACAAGAAGTAAGGGATGGAAACTAACCAAAGAGAAAAGCAACTTAGAACTAAGGAGAAACTTCCTGACAGTGAGAACAATTAACCAGTGGAACAACCTGCCTCCAAAAGCGGTGAATGCTCCAACACTGGAAATTTTTAAGAAGAGACTGGACAGCCAATTGTCCGAAATGGTATAGGGTTACCTGCCTGAGCAGGGGGTTGGACTAGATGACCTCCAAGGTCCCTTCCAACTTTATTATTATTATTATCATCATCATCATCATCATCATCATCATCATCATCAGTGCTTTTTTTGTAAAAAAAAAGGTGCCAGAACTCACATACGTCATACAACCCGCCTTGCCTACCCTACAAGGTTCCATCCAAAAAAGGTGCCGGAACTCCGTTCTGGGCGTTCTATGACAAAAAAAAGCCCTGACTATTATTATTATTATTGTTGTTGTTGTTGTTGTTGTTATTATTAGTCAACGGGGAAGCCAGATGTTAAGTGTTACTAACTGAACAACTGCAGGGACTCACTTAGTAACTGTGGCGAGAACGGTCACGAAATGGGGCACAACTCACTTAGCAACTGTCCTGCTTAGCAACAGAAATTTGGGGCTGCATTGTGGTGATGGCAAATCCAGGACTATCTGTATCGCTGCCGATAATTCTGATCAGATTTCTGCCCTTCTCCAAGTACACACCTTGTTTGCGCACATCCTCCACGGCGGCCACCAGTTCGTCCTTCAAGTCTTGGCTCTCTTTCGCAATCTGCTCCCCTTTCTCCAAGAAGTTCTGAGTGGCTTGCTCAACCGAAGCCGCGAGGACGTGGGCCTTCTTGGACCGGCCTTTCTTTTTCCCCGAAGGCCCCTTGTTGCTGGTGTTCACGAGGGTCGTCACCTTGGAAGGAGGAACCAAAAAAGTCAGTTAGGTATCGTTGTTAATTCTGTTCTGCACGCAATGGTCCTAAGAGAGACCCACTGTGGTATTGTTGAGAAGCCTATTGTTTACCTTAAAGAATCTTTATTCGAGTGGCATAGCATCGGCACGTACATAGTCCAAGCCAAAATCTGAATTCCTCTCCCCTGAACACATAGTATCAAAGCACAATTCCCTCCTGTAATTAACGGTCATAAATCACATTCTCCAAGTAGTTTGAAATGCAGACTTTCCCTCCAGTTCTCCAACCCGCCATTTCTTATCATCTATTTCAAACAACCTCGAATCCACACACTACTAAGATCTTGTTATGTCTAACTAATTCCCATACACATTCTTCCTCATCCCCCCCCCCCAGTATCATCTAATTCTAACTCTAAGAGTAACACACAAGTTAAGGAAAATGGCTGCATCTCCATATATTGTCAAAGCAAGAACATCCAATGTTAGCAGCGTTGACACGGTGCTCATCTCTGTTTCAAGCCAGCACTGTCCGAAGACATTTCCATGGTCCTGTGGCCAGCATGAGGTCACAGAGTGCTGTTACCTTCCCACCGAAGTGGTACCTATTCACCTACTCGCATCTGCCTGCTTTTGAACTGCTCGGCTGGCAGAAGCTGGGGCGAGAACGGGGGCTCACCCTGTCTCATGGTGCTCAGCTCTCAAACCTTTCTAGCTGACATCTTAACCACTCAGCCACCGCGCTGCCAGGTTGAAACAAGCCTCCTCCTAATTATCATGTAAAGTTTTCCACCGTTTAATTGTTTAAAGCAGAGGTCCCCAACCCCCAGGCTGCAGCCCGGTGCCAGGCCGCAGCCTGTTGGGAACTGTCAAGCGGAGGTGGAGCTCGTGCACGCATGAAGGTACATTTCTGCACTGCGCATGTGTGCCCAAAACCATCCCCTCTCCCCCCCCCATTGTCTGTCCACAGAGCTAGAAAGGTTGGGGACCGCTGGTTTAAAGCAGGGCTTTTCAAACAGTGGTACGGGTACCACCTGTGGTACACTGGCACCTGGCAGGTGGTACGCGACCATCCTAGAAAAGTGGTAGCGGGGGAGGGGAATGAGCTGAACCGGTGGCAGCACCGCACAAACCTAAGCGAGAGATGGCTGGAGCTGCAGGGCTGGCAGGGCTCAGCGGAAACGCCAGGATCAATGCTGCTTTCCAGCTGATCGGCGTTTCTTCGAGACTGTCAGGGCTCAGTGGAAGCGCCAGGATCAGCGCCAGGCTCCAGCTGGAGCTCGGCGCTCATCCTGGTGCTTCTGCTGAGCCCAGAAGAAGTGCCGATCAGCTGGAATGTTGCAGCATCCCCAGGGTCTTGTGATTTACATTCAGATGCTTGGCAACTGATTCGTATTTATGATGGTCACAGTGTCCCAGGGTCATGTGAAGTGACCAAAACCTGCTGCAACCACCCAGCAGACGGGGGAAATAAAAACTAAACACCCCTACCCCACCCCCACTATTTATTTATTTTTTTTGGTCATCAAGTTTTTGACACCTTGCTAGGCGACTGGTGGTACTCGGATATTGCCCTATCCTAAAAGTGGTACAATGGGTGAAAAGGTTGAAAAGCCCTGGTTTAAAGGATGTATTTTTTTTTTCAAACTGAACAGTTCTTTATCTTAATAACGTTTCACGGAGTGTTGATTGTACTTTTGCTCTTGTGTGTCTGTAAAACCCCCTGAGCTGCTCAAGATATATAGGCCGTTCATACCCTCTTTCAGACCCAACTTATGGATGGGAAAGGACAATAGAGATAGCAAACATGATCTCCCTCCAAGAGAGAAAGGGAGGCTCTGTTACTTTGGATCGAGGGTCTGCATTTCATTGCCTGTGCTACATCGCCATTCAGGCATAAAAAGAAGCGTAATTGCTTCTTGTGTACTCTACGGAAAGTGAGGCCTCATCTGGAACTTAAGTAAATTCTCTTTCACATCTCCACAGGTTGAGAACCACTGCATTAAGTAAACGCTGTCCAGGGCTTTCTGCTTCTCCTGGCTTCTATTCGAAATTTCCTTTTCAAAAAGAACCTCATCCATCTTCAACAGTCCTCGAATGCTAAAAGTAAAATGATTCCCTTCTTAAGAAACCAGCTTCCCAAACCTCTGGCTTATTTCTCTGGAGGCAGAAAGCCACAGATTACTCCTTCTTTTTGCCTTCTTCCCATTTCTCTTTCAATAAAGCCTTGACAGCTTGCCAATTCGTGGGGATTTCAGATCTCTTTGCCAGGCCTCCATCGGCTAAATTTCCCAAAGGATGAAAACTGTGCTCCTTCCCAGCAATTTGACCGAGCATTTGGGGTGCTGCTGTGGCGCAGCGCCAATGTATTAAGAGTACAGGTCCATCTCCTGCCTTCACCCAATCAATATGTGCTTCTGAACTTTGTCTCCTAGAGCAGGGGTCCCCAACCCCCAGTCTGTGGATCGGTACCGGGCCACGGCATGCCAGCAACCGGTCCGCGCAAACAAGCAAAGCCCCATCCGCGGGATGCAGGCAGCGCACAAAACCACACACCCTCCGGTCCGCGGAAAAACCTCTCTCCACAGAACCAGTCCCTGGTGCCCAAAAGGTTGGGGACCTCTGTTCTAGAGGATAGACCCCCCCCCAAATTAACAGAAAATATGACTTTCTATACAGGTAGTCCTCAACCCGCAACAGTTCATTTAGTGACCGTCTGAAGTTACAACGGCACTGAAAAAAAAGTGACTTAGGACCGTTTTTCACCCTTACGACCATTGCAGCACCCCCAGGGTCACGTGAACAAAACTCTGATGTTTTGCAACTGACTCATATTTATGACAGTTGCAGTGTCGGGAGTCATGCAATCACCTTTTGCAACTCTCTCAACAAGCAAAGTCAATGGGGAAGCCAGATTCACTTAACTCTGTGCTACTAATTTAATAACTGATCTGTCAACACTGCTAACATCGGATGTTTTGCATTGACAACAGATGGAAATCTAGCCATCTTTTTCCCTTTCGCTTTTAGAGTTAGATGATGCTGGGAGGGGGGGATGTGAACGAGAATCTAGCTAGACATAACAACACTAAACTTAGCGTGAGAATCAAGGTTATTGAGCCCAGAGCTGATAAAGAATTGGCGGGCTGGAGAACTGGAGAGAAGCCCGTGCTTCAAGCTAATTGGAGAATGTGATTTATGACTGTTAACTAGAGGAGGGAATTGTGCTTTGATACTATGTGCCCAGGGGAGGGGAATTCAGTTTTTGGCTTCGATTATGTAGTGCCGATCTTATGCTACTCGAATCAAAGATTCTTTAAGGTAAACAATGCCTCGAAGTTCTTTCGAAGAGTTTCATCTGTCGGAACCATGACAAATTTTAGATAGCAATAGTGCTTAGACTTTTATACTGCTTCACAGTGCTTTACAGCCCCCTCTAAGCGGTTTACAGAGTCAGCATCTTTCCCCCCAACAATCTGGGTTCTCATTTTACCGACCTCGGAAGGACGGAAGGCTGAGTCAAACCCTGAGCCAGTCAGGATCAAAGGAATTGAACCCCTGGCAGTTTGAGCAGAGTTGGCCTGCAATACTGCACGCTAACCACTGCTCCACCATGCTGCTTGGCCTTGACTCATATTTATGATGGTTGCAGCACCCCAGTGTCACGTGAACCCCTTTTGCGACCGTCTGACAAGCAAAACCAATGGAGAGAAGCCAGATTCTCTTGACACCCGTGTTACTAACTTAAACGACTGCAACAATTCACTTAACAAGTGTGGCAAGAAAGTATAAAATTTGGCAAAATTCACTTAACCAATGTGTCATGGTTCCAACAGATGAAACTCTTCAAAAAAACTTCGAGGCATTGTTTATGTCAACGCTGCAAATACTGTATATTCTTGCTTTGACAATATGCAGAACTGTCTGGTATTTTTATAGTTAAACCAGGCAACAGGGAAAAAGGGAGGAGAATAAGGATAGCCCGGGAAAAAGAAACCGGAAGTAAATCACATCTTCCAAGTTGATTGGAAGATGTGAACCATGACCCCAAAATAAGGGGGGGGGGNGGGGGGGGGGAATGCTTAGAATGTATATGCGTAACGGAAGAGAAGCCAGACCTAAGCATTTCCACCATGCTGTACTGACGACTCTGTAACCTTAATAAATGCTTTTAGGAAAAAATATGCCTGAAAGTCCTTTTAAGTGTTTCGTTAATCAGACACATGACATCGTACCTTAAAGAATCTTTATTCGAGTAGCATAGCATCGGCACGTACATGGTCGAAGCCAAAATCTGGATTCCCCTCCCCTAAACACATAGTATCAAAGCACAATTCCCTCCTCTAATTAACGGTCATAAATCACATTCTCCAAGTAGTTTGAAATGCAGACCTTCCCTCCAGTTCTTCAATCCGCCATTTCTTATTCTTATTTCAACCAACTTTGAAAAGCACTCTACTACGATGTTGTTATGTCTAACTAATTCTCATATACATTCTTCCTTCACCTACCCCCCAGTATCATCTAATTCTAACTCTAAAAGTAACACACAAGTTAAGGGGAAATTGGCTGCATCTTCATATATTGTCAAAGCAAGAACATCCGATGTTAGCAGCATTGACACAAAGTTTCACTTGGGGCTCAACTGTGGTCATAAAAAATGGGTCATGCAGATTGAGTGGCTGAATAATTTACTTATATGTCTGTGGACAAGTTAAAAACTCTCCTGAGACAAAATTTATATAAAATGTTCTATAGAGGGCACTTGCCACCAGCAAGATTAGCAAAAAATGTTCAAAAATATGTCAGAGAGATGTTGGAAATGTAAACATAAGTCAGGCACGTATTACCATGTTTGGTGGAAATGTGATAAAGTAAAGAACTATTGGAAAAAGATACATACTTGGCTAGAAAAGATGTTGGGAGAACACGTAGATCTTAAACCTGGACTTTTTTTACTAGGTATAATGCCAGAAAAGACTAACAAACAAAGCCTATAT